GAATACTTCCTTAACTCATTCTATGAGACCAGCATTACCCTAATATCAAAACCAGACAAAAACATTATATTGTGTTATGCAAAGGAACATTTCTTTATAGTATGATGATGTCTGCTAAGTTGCAGTATCATTTTGAGACCAATCACTCAGAGTTGAAAGAAGAAAGAATTGAATATTCAAAGTGTCGACATTACAAGCTTTTTAAGTCAAAATTCTTATTACTTTTCAAACTAGGAATACAAGGCCACTGGAGCATCCTACTGCTTTTTTAAAAATTGATTTATTGCTTAAAGTATTACAAAGAGTATTATATATGTCTCCTTTTTTTTCTCCCCTTGACCCTCCCCTAGCCTTCGGTTGATCTCTTACCCCCTTCCCTCCTGCCCCCCAACCCTCCCCAGCCTTCCCGCTGCAGTTTGACAATCTGTTTGAGGCAGCTCTGCCTCTGTATCTATTATTGTTCAAAAGTTTATAATGGTCTCTATTATCCATGAATGTGTGAGATCATGTGGTATTTTTCCTTCATTGACTGGCTTATTTCACTTAGCATAATGCTCTCCAGTTCCATCCATGCTGTTGCAAATGGTAAGAGTTCCTTCTTTTTTACAGCAGCATAGTATTCCATCGTGTAGATGTACCACAGTTTTCTAATCCATTCATCTACTGATGGGCACTTAGGCTGTTTCCAGATCTTAGCTATGGTGAATTGTGCTGCTATGAACATAGGGGTGCATATATCCTTTCTGATTGGTGTTTCTGGTTTCTTGGGATATATTCCTAGAAGTGGGATCACAGGGTCAAATGGGAGTTCCATTTCCAGTTTTTTGAGGAAACTCCATACTGTCTTCCATAGTGGCTGCACCAGTCTGCATTCCCACCAGCAGTGCACAAGTGTTCCTTTTTCTCCACATCCTCTCCAGCACTTGTCGTTTGTTGATTTGTTGATGATAGCCATTCTGACAGGTGTGAGATGGTACCTCATTGTTGTTTTGATTTGCATCTCTCGGATGATTAGTGACTTTGAGCATGTTTTCATATGTCTCTTGGCTTTCTGAATGTCCTCTTTTGAAAGGTGTCTATTTAGATCCTTTGCCCATTTTTTGATTGGATTGTTTATCTTCTTTTTGTTAAGTTGTATGAGTTCCCTATAAATTTTGGAGATTAGGCCCTTATCAGATATGACGTTGGCAAATATGTTTTCCCACGCAGTGGGTTTTCTTGTTGTTTTGTTGATGGTTTCTTTTGCTGTGCAGAAGCTTTTTATTTTGATGTAGTCCCATTTGTTCATTTTCTCTTTAGTTTCAACTGCCCTAGGAGCTGTATCAGTGAAGAAATTGCTTTGGCATATGTCTGAGATTTTGTTGCCTTTGGATTCTTCTAGTATTTTTATGGTTTCCGGTCGTATATTTAAGTCCTTTATCCATTTTGAGTTTATTTTTGTGTATGGTGTAAGTTGGTGGTCTAGTTTCATTTTCTTGCATGTATCTGTCCAATTTTCCCAACACCATTTATTGAAGAGACTACCTTGGCTCCATTGTATGTTCTTGCCTCCTTTGTCAAATATTAATTGAGCATATTGGTTCGGGCTGATTTCTGGGGTCTCTATTCTATTCCATTGATCTATATGTCTGTTCTTGTGCCAGTACCAGGCAGTTTTGAGAACAGTGGCTTTGTAATACAGCTTGATATCTGGTATTGAGATCCCACCTACTTTGTTCTTTCTCAGGATCGCTGCAGCTATTCGGGGTCTTTTTTTATTCCAGATGAATTTTTGGAGAGTTCGTTCTAGATCTGTGAAATATGCCGTTGGTATTTTAATGGGAAGTGCATTGAATTTATAGATTGCTTTGGGTAGTATGGACTCCTGTTAGCTCCAGACTCAACTTCTTGGGCATCCTTTGCTCCCTGTCAACCCCTCCTCTCCACTCTCAGTCACCTACTCCTCCCCAAAATAAATACATCTCTTTTTTTTTAGGCTCAAAGAACATTCCTTTTTACTTTTTGAAGATTTTCCCCAACTTTATTGAGGTAAATTGAAGTATACTAAACCTCACATATTTAAGTGTACAATTCTATCAGTTTTGACATACATATACCCATGAAACCATGACCTTGCAAACATTTCCATCTCCACCTCCCCTCCCCCAAATTTCCCGTGTTCCTTTTCATCCAAGCCTCCCTCCATCGAATCTCCAACCATCTGTTGATCTTCCTCTCTCTGCAGATTAGCTTGTATTTTCTGGAGTTTTGTATAAATGGAATCACACATTATGTTCTTTCTCTTTTCTCTTGGCCTGTCTTCTTTGATTCAGTATGATTTTGAGATTCTTCAGTGTTGTCTATATTAATAGTCTTCTTTATTGCTCCGTTGTACTCCATTGTACAGTGTTACCACAATTTGTGGTGGATTGGGGTTGTTTCTGGATTTTTACCTCTAACAAGTAAATCTCCTAGGAACAGTCACGTACAAGTCTTTGAATTTCATGCTTTCCTTTCTCTTTGGCTAAGTATCTAGGAATGGAATGGTTGGGTCGAATGGCGAATATATGTTTAACTTTTTAAGAAACTGCCAAACTGATTTCCAAAGTGGCTGTACCATCTTACACCCCCACTAGCAACGCATGAGAGTTTCAACTGCTCCACAACACTCGCTATAGCGTTTAAAATTTAACCCCTCATTGGGTTTTGTTTGTTTGAATGCACAACAGTTGAGTTACTTCTTGGTTTCATTTCTACCAAGGGGAGCGCATGCTCAGCTTTACGGGGAATACGACCAGACCATGCCTGTTATGCCAGTGAAGATAACAGTGGCCTTCTTACCCCCTCAAAGCGTCCTGGTTTGGACATAAAATATGTGGTTTCTCTACTTCTAATCCAACTAGCCATGACCCCAGGCTGCCCACCCACAGCAACGAAAGCTCAGCACGGCATTCTGTTCCACAAAGACTTTTCCCTCCTCTAAAAGGGATTCTCCTGCTTTTCTTAATTTTTTTCTTACTTCAACCGAATTACAGGAGGAAGGGAGGGGCACAATGTAGTGTAGCACGGAGGGGGGGCAAGTGGAAATTGATAGATGGAGGGTGTGGGAGCAGGTCCCGACGGCATCATTTGAGCTGGGTGCAGCCATGCTTGAGGAGGGATCTACTCCTTAACTTTTCCACGCAAGAACCAGGACACCCGCCTTTTGTGTCTAAGGTAGTGTGACTGGGATTTCTGTCACTTGCAGTTTAGAGTCCCTGCTAGCACGCACATTAGGGGACTGTACCTCAAAGGCAGTAGCATTTTGCCAGCCTTGGCTGCCTCTCCTTTCACATGTCTCCCTGAGGGTGACTGTTTCTGCTGACCTGGCCCTGGGACTTGAAAGCAGTGACACTGGTTGCGGATGAGACCTCCGAGAGCATTAAAGGACCAGGGTCAACGTTTTTAACGGTCACCACGCGGTTTGTTTAATTGAATGCTCTAGTTTGGTATGTCCAGTGTGTAATGCAGCAGGATCTTTACTCTCTAACTCGCTGTCATTTTGTGGTATGACCCCAAAACTTGTGAATTTTGGGAAGCAGCCTTCATTTCCAACGAGCATTTTCTTTCTAGCGGAAGAAAAGAGGCCGAAAGTGAAGGGACACAAGTTAAAAAGATCCCATCTAGCCCTAACCAATTTGGCTCAGTGGATAGAGCATCAGCCTGCGGACTGAAAGGTCCCAGGTTCGATTCCGGTCAAGGGCATGTACCTTGGTTGCAGGCACATCCCCAGTAGGAGGTGTGTAGGAGGCAGCTGATCGATGTTTCTCTGTCATCAATGTTTCTAACTCTCTATCCCTCTCCCTTCCTCTCTGTAAAAAAAATCAATAAAATAAAATTTAAAAATCCCATCCAGTCCCCTCTCGAACATCCTCAGGTTTAACTGCAGGGCACTCCCTGGGAGTGCCCTGGCTCTGCCCCAAGCCCCAGAGAGAGCTGAACTCGGCTGGAGGCCAGGTAGTGTACGTCCCTGGGCGCCCCTCTCCTTTGTGGGGCTCCGTCCGCCAAAAGCAGCCCCGCAGGCCTCACCTCGGGGAAGAGACTAAGCCTCCAACCCGCACAGCAGCCCTCGGACTAGGGTGGCAACCCCAAGTCAGGATCAGGAACTCCCCCTCTGCCCTCAGGTGACTCTTTGCAAACGACAGGGCGTAGGCCACGCCCCTCAGGCCCTAAGTC